GCAGCTCCTTCGTTTTCCGACTATTTTTTCTTTTCTTCAGTCTGTGCGGTGTTTAATGAAATTTTTGTGCTGCCTCCCAGCGCTGCAGCTCCACTAAAAATAAAAATAAACTGCCCCATTCCCAGTGCGCCACAAGGCAAATTCTCGCCCAGCGGTGCTTCAGTGTATTTGTGCTCCGTTCGCGTTCGCTTTCTCGTTTTATGGGGCACACACAGCAGGTGGCAGGTGCCACCACTGTGTCGAACTTGCAGCTGCAACTGCAATTGCAACCATTTTCATATTTTATGTACTTTGCGTGCTTAAAAATGTTTCAATTTCTCCACCTTTCACTCTTTGGCGCACGTTCCGGGTGAAAAGGTGCTGCTACCACCACCGCCGCCGCCCACTTTTGCCATTTCAATTTCATGAAGGTCAGCGGGCAGGGCAAACCAAATAACTGCCGAGCTGCATGTAAAAAAAAACTTGCTTGATAATTTTCTACTCAAATTGAATATTTGCAAATGTGTGTGTGTGTGTAAGCCAAACTTTTCTTATTCTCTGCAAATAACTTTAATGGAAAAACTTTGAATATCAAACCGCAAAAAACAAAAAACCTTGTCCACTCCCAGAGCCCAGGCGGGCACTCGAATTGAAAATTAAAATTGAATAGTTGCTCCACACAGCAAAACAGCCACCTGGTCAAAGAGTTTGGCTACAAGCTCCAAAACAATTCAAAATTATAAAATAAACTTAATTTGTGATACTTATTTCCATATACTTCAAATTACACAACACTGCTCCTCCATCTCGGAACATTAAATTACCAATAAATAGAAGCAGGGATATCCCGAATAAAAGTTCAGAAAGATGTTTGATGATTTATGTTATCAGATGATTACAAATTAAAACTAAAATAGCAAGTAAGAGCAAGTCAGGAGTTCCCGACTAAGGGATCCCCAGAAACCTCTCCTATCAACACCAAATGCAGCTCGTGCTACAAGCTCGTTTGCTTTGACAGTACTAAAAAAATTAAAATAAAAAAGTTCCCTCGATTGGACTCGAACTCGTAACACATCGCACTACTTGCAACCGCCTCTACTCAATTGAGTCTTAATGAGCAAAATTCGGATTAAAATAGCAACATATTGTATTGCTGTTGATAGAATGTGAGTGGGTCCATGTATACAGAAATTGTTGCGCTTTGCGCTAGCTGCCGCTGACATGTGGGCTGCCAATATATAATATAACCTAACGGTTTCTTTAATAACTTCTGTGTTTCTTACCGATCTCGATGAAATTTTCAACAATAGATCTTAATGTGCTATTAAATATATGCATATTCTCAAAAAGTCAATTGCATTAAAATTGGTGGGCAAATTAGTTTTCTTTACTTGCTATGTGGTGGTACTGAAGAGGTGGCGATAGCTATAAAATGAAAGAAACTTGATATATATATATATACTATTCTAAAAGCTACATATCAAGTTTGGTGACTCTAGCTCCTGTAACTTACGAGATTTGCCCAAAAATCACGGTTTCGAGATCCTTGCGTTCATACATACGGACAGACAGACGGACATCAACTCGGCTATTGATGCTGATCAAGAATATATATTCTTTATGGGGTCGAAAATGTTTCCTTCTGCCTGTTAGATATATTTGCGCAAATACATTATACCCTTTTCACCCATTTTTCATGGGTTCAGGGTTCAACCATGACCAAAATGGCCTTAAACCTCGGCCTAGTTAGGCGCCATTACTTGGAATTTGGAACTCTTCACGTAAAAACAGTTTCAATTTCATGAAATTTGCATTTAACTTAATATTTATCTTAATTTATCCTAATGTTAATCTTAATATTTTGGAGAAAAAAATTGTAAATACATTTGCCTAATTAAATCATAGAAAAAATCATGGACAAACTGTCATCTATTTTGAAAATTGCTTCAAATTCTGGATCAAAAACTTACTGGGGACAATAGGAGTGGTATGCGGTATATTCCCCAGAAAGAGTAAATATAAGTTGGTGCATTTACTTGAGAACTAAACATGTCCAAATTTCTGTGAGTTTCGGCTTGCTTTTTAGAAAAATATTCCATTAAAAAATGGGATTTTCTTACTAGAAATTGTCAATAGATTGAAAAATATGAGATCTATTTCTTCCAAAAAATTATACAAAAATTAAAATATTGAAAAAATGCATAAGTCTTAATATCAGAATTAAAAAAAATGATCATATATAAAATGATAATTAACATTAAAGTTGGTTCAGTTCTCACAGAGTTAGTGGCGTTCAATATTTGGAAATGGTATTTACTAGGTACTCAAGACTTAGCAAATCATCAGCAGGCATTCGATTATTCGGACAGTTATATAAAAAAAACCTGATGCCAGATGTTGGCGAAATATGCTCAACAACCTTTTTTTCTTCCTCTTAGTCTTATTATAGAGAAGGAATAAAAGAACCGTAGCTGAAGTCCTTGTGCGGCGGTCCAATTAGCGAGTGTCTGTTGTAGGAGGACACGTTTGTCTGTTGCTTCTGCATTTTTGGCGTATATCAGTGCCCAAGTGACAGAAAGTCATTTGGGTTATTAGCAGTCGAGTGTCGCAAAGGAGCTGCGGGGTATGGCCGGAAACCCTTCTAATACGAACTTCAAAAGGAAAATGCCATAAGAAATAAGTTTCTTCAACTGACATTATTTCGTTATTATCCGCATCAAGGATTCGATTGAGAGGCAGGCACAGTCAGAGGCACAGGCACGTGCTGCCAACGCCTTTATCCTTGCGAAAACATTGTCTGGGGGCACAGCAGCAGGCAGCAGGCAGCAGGCACCAGGCAGCAGGAGGCGCCAGGACAACAACTGACAGCCGAACAGAGGCGCAGCACAGATACAAAAGAAATTATATTTACTGCAGGGCAGGAGGCAACCAACGAAAACAAAACACACACACACACACAAATAGGCAAGTGGCAAGTGGGCCAGACGGGGCAGCACTGCTTGGCGAAATCAAATAAAATGCCGGAAACATGGCATCGAGGGCCCAAGTGGTGCCAAGTCATGTCAGGGGCCTCTGATACCGTTGAGCCTTGGAGACTTTTGCTTACCTATTTTTTTTTTCTTTTTTGATTTTTTTTGGTCGCCACACGCATTCACGGACTCACTCACTCACTATTCACAGTATTCACGAATGTTTTCGCAGCAGATAAATACAACATTTGACACTTCATTATTGTGCCCGCAGCGTAATCGAATCAATTCCAGCTCCACTTCCAGGCCAGCCCAACCCACGTGCCACGTCTTGTCATGGTGTCAAAAGTGCTTGGCCATTCGTCGTCCTTGGTCGTGGGGTTTGTGGCCCAAGGCTCAAGTCAGCTTGGCCTGTTGACACATTCGCTTAAACGTATTAAATTGTTTGCCATCGCTATTGTTGTTGCTGCCGCTGCTGCTGCTGCTTTTGGCCAGCAAGCAAAGCCTGGCATTTTATTTATACGCACTTTCGTTGTCCTTGTTGCTGTCTGCTTCTCGAGAGAACCTGATGCCTGATGCCTGATGGTTGATGGTTTTTTCGTTTATGTTTGTTTGCTTGCGTGCGGAAGTGCGACCAGTCCGCTCGCTTTTTTTCTTTCATTCTTTTTTAATACATTTTTGCACTGTCACACTTAAAGTAATCGATTACAGTATGGATCCTGTAACCGGATATATTCGTTTCCGTTTGGCATTTGACGCAACAAATGTTCCAAGCGCCACATAATTGCGCGCCAGCTCCAGCTGTTTTATATTGTAATTGTGGCCTAATTACGATATGATAACAAGACGTTGAGGTCAATTGCGCCGTAACCTGTTTATGGCCTCAAATCTGACGTAGAAATAAGTTGTATTCAATATAGAGCTGCTGACTGTAGTAACATATCAATGACTTCCAGACTGTATTTATCAATTTTAATTATTGGTAGAGGTCCTCCTAGTTGTGCCTTAATAGAATTTTTGCCTTGATCTGTATAGTTGGGCAGAAGTATTTCCTAAACATTGTGACTCTGGCGCCACAACTGTGCAAGATATCAATTTACGCGGTTTTCCCATTCACTATTTAATTAAATAATAATTCACTAGATTAATAAAATAATACAAATATGTAACTATAAATAAATTAATGTATCAGAAATTAAAGAGTCTCTATTGCAAATTGAAAAGTTTTTGATGACGCAAGGCACGAACCCAATTCCTGGCTCAAAAATGTGAGAGGTTCTCTTCACAGACCAAATCTTGAGGAGAGGCATTTGTTTAAGCCTTGAACCAAACCTCAGAAATATCTCGTGTGACATTCAGCCGTGTTTTTAACTTTTATTTGACTTAAAGATACACAAGTCATTAGCTCTTAAATTACGCAAGACAATATACCCCTATTTACTTTGTAAACAGTGCATAGACATCTAAGAGTCGACATATTTTATTAGCCGTAAAATAAACTTACCAAGCTTCATATAGTAATATGTGCATTTAATCCCATAAAACTCAGCAATTGAATTAATGTAAATCCCTCGTGAAACTGACATTGCGAAAGTTTTAATATTCAAGTGCATTTTAACACTTTGGTAGCTCAAGTAATTTCACACACGCACACATCCACACGCACATGCACTTGCATATTGACATTTAAAATTGATTGGCAAATCAACAGCAAATGCACTAAATTATTTCTAAAGCTTTGCCAGGATATATGTGCATAAGGCTTGTCCGAAACCAATTTGACAACTTTCATTAGCTATGCATAATAAAGTGCACTTTATGAACTTTGCGACATTTGACAAATATTCTCCAAAATGCCCTAAACCAATTAGCCACACACACACACGCACACGGACACACAATCTAGATGATAGATGCTGTTGGCCATAAGCCCAATAGTGCGTGACGTTTGCTCGTTGGGCTAATAATATTTGCTGTAATTTAGTTTATATTTTCAGGCATTTCATATTTCGTATTGCGTATATTACATTTGAATTCCTTTCGCTTTTACAGCCAGCGCCCAGAGTCTGATGGCCAAGCATGAGCCCATGTTCATATCACGTTCGGAGACATTCAAATTCATAGCCGGAGATATTATAGTGCTGCCCTGTGAGGTGGCCAATACGGGTGAGTAGCCTAAATAAGTGTATGTGTGTGAGTGTGAATGAGTTTGAGTGTGGGTCTCTCTGTGGGTATTCTTAACTCAGTTGTCATTCAATTGCTGCGGTCTGCATACTTAGGACATATGTGCATAATTAACCCTACACCATGTGATGCTTCGGCTGACAGCAACTATGCATTAATCCAGGCTTTCCATGCTGAAATAAAAAGGATGAGGACTTGACGAGCAGCTGTCCAAGATGCGGCCTGAACACGTTTTTGTTATCGGTTACGGTTTCGGTTTTGGGATCCACCCAAATGTAGCTTGCACTGCTGGCATGTGCCATGTACGTTTTTCAATTTAAATGCGGTCGTGTGTTGAGATTATTTGTACATAACAAGGATTTAGCGTAAGGACATTTATTCACATACATAAACACAAATAACTATATAGCAAACCCGTCAGGTTGCGGCTAGGCGCTGTTGTCGTCGTCGTCGTCTGGACATCTTGGCCAAGTTTGTATACAAAATGCTACATAAAAACTTGAATCCAAACACTTGGCATACATTATACGTATGTGCAGACTTATGTGGGCGACTGTCCTGGTCTAAAAATACACTCAGCGAAAATAGTCAAGCATTTGGAACACAAACCAAGCACAGTCAAGGTGAATGTTATTGTCGAGACAGAGGCAAATTCTTAATGAACAAATTTTGGTTTTCTACCGAAACTCCAAGATACAATTATTAATGTATTCGATATAAATTTGAGTCTTAATTTAATTATAATGGTTCTTGTAAAAGGTTTTTTTCTTATTTTGCCAAAATTCAGATTAATTTGTGCCTGTGATAATTCAAATTTCTTAATCTAAAAACTAACGACAATGATAGAATACTTCATAATACAAACAGATAAGAAATATAAAACGCATTTGATAAATCGCCAAGATTCCAAAACCTCAATTAATACTAAAAACAAAAAATTAGCTTCTATTTCAAATTTTTTAACTCGTATTATAAGTATGTTAGTCTTGTAATAAGTAGTTTTTTCCTTATCCAAGCAAAGATTAATTCCGAATGTGCAACGACAAATGCTCAGCGTTGACAAATAAGTATAAATAACGAAATGTATTTAACTGAAAAAAAAAATTAAAAAATTTAAATATCTTAAAAATTACATTCATTTTATGCTATGATTTTTTCTGAGTGTACGTTTATATATGTATGTGTTTGTGCAAGTGGTTGTGGTCATATCAACCGTTTATTAGAACCAGCATACAGAACAAAGAACATGGCATTTTCTTTGGCATATCTCATGCACTTCATTGCCCCAACGAAAGAAAATGAAGAAGTAGTAGAAATGAAAAAAGTAAAAGAAGCGGAAGCAGGACAATGGCAACAACAACATCAACGTGGACAATACATTGAAGATTCTTGCAGAGCAGGGTATTAGAGCCACAGGCATTTGGGTAATGATAAAAAGCGAGCACAGCAAGAGCAAAAGCTCAATATGCGAAAGCAGCAGAAGAAAAATAAAAGAGAAGTATATAGAGGCTACGTAACCAGGTTTCCACAGTGCTGTCTAATGCCATTCTATGCTAAGTAATAAAGTGCCTCATACGACAGTTTAATTAGAAACATTTCTCAAGCCTGAGCTCAGCTCCAGCTGCTAAGTGCAATAATTAAAATCAAAACCGTGACGTCTTCATAAGGCCGTGTTCATAAGGCGCACTTTATGGATATTTAAAAAATAAATATGTTAAGACTGGCAGCTGCTGCCGTTCTTTCATTTTTCTTGAGCTTCTTTTTATGTGTTAGCCATAAAGTTAAAAATGTAATTGATAGACTTTTTAAAAACGCACTCAATCCTGCTGCTGCTGTTCCTCATCTTGCTTCAGTCCCCACCCCCACCCACCCTCGTATTTGTATTCGCCGCGATGATGAGCTAAATACAAAATTATTCACATTTTCATTTTATTTTATGACGAAAGCCCATAAAATTCGAAAACCAAATGAAAATGATGAGTTTGTCTTGTGTTGTCTTGCTCTCTCTCTCTTTCTCACTCTTGCCCTCTCTTTCTTTTGTGCGACTGCTCATTTGCATATTATATGAAAATTCCTTTAAATACTTATGCGGTGCTTCGCACTTTTACAAAAGTAATCTTATGTCTTGGCAAATAAGAAATATAAGCACATCTTAACTCACGCACACCCACGCATGCACACACTCAACACACACGCACGCACAACCAAAGCTCTCAAGTACCTGTGCAAGAGCCTGTCTAAATAAACATTGAAGCATTTCATCATTATCATGTTATCTTGTTATTTGCATTTCGTTCCTTACTTTTTTCTTGCATATGTGCAAGGCTATTCGAGTTGCACGCTAGCATAGCCTGTCTTATGCCCTTACCTCTTCTCCTTTAAACCTCCCCCCTTCCCCGCGCTTTATTAGAACCTATGCTTTGCTGCCTTTGTTGATATGCCAGTCGGCACTTGCGCCTGGGGCCATGCAACATAAAAGTAATTCCGCTAACACAAACACACGCAATGTCCTTGCATTCTAGCTGCTGCATGTAGCCGCGCAAGTCATACCCTGTACTCAAGAAAGTTTAATAAAAGAAATAATAAATAGTATATATTGAGATAATAATTCATAATAAGCCTATATAAGGCTTTGATTTATCTCATATCAATTATAAACATAAATTTTTTTGGTATGATTATTATTTATATTGTACTTATATATTTGGTAAAGCTTAAATCAAATATTTAGTTTTTGATACTAGCTTCTTTTTTGTAAAATTCGAATACTGTACCAAAATCTGAATAGCTTCCATTTTTTATGCTTTTCATTTGAAGCTCAGCTTTTAAATACTTTACAATGAAAAATATTATTTAGACTAAGCATTAAGTTTTTAGTTTTATTTAATTGATTAATGATCTGTGAAGCTTAATTTCTCGGAATATTTATCCTTTGTTTTGAAAATGCAGAGTACGACGAGGAATAAAAAATCTAAATACGTAGGGATATGGAACATTACTGCTTTCATATCTAAGATTCCATACCCTTAAAGGACATTTGAAAGTAAAGTAAATCTGAATTTAAATTCAATGAAAGTTTATCCAGGCAAGGCTGGTTAATGCCTAAACCTTAACTCTTTATCTCAAATAATTTCATAAGAATACAAAAACAGTTATTGAAGTTGTTTAACCAAATTCCCTAATTACTCCACCAAATTTTGTTTTCAAGAGTTTCTGACTGTGTTAACAAGCAGAAAGATGATAAAGTTTTGCTCTGCGGCACACATTTGTTTAAGCAAATTTCTTGTTGTTGTTTCTTTAATAATTATTTCTTCTAATGAATTTAAAAAGTACTCATACATTTACTCAAAGGCTTATAATCAACTTGTCCTTCGCACACACACACACAGAAACATACACTCAATTCCTTAGGCATATTTGTATATTTGCGCTCTCATCAAATATATCAAATATAAACGGCAAGTGCTGCTGTTGAAAGGCTTGTCAAGTGCGTGGTTGATGCTTTGTGTGTGTGGCTATTTTATGAATACCCTTTTTTTTGGAAAGGTTTAAGAAGGGTTGCTGCACTTAGTATTTGTCTCTTCAAATTTGTTTGAATATATTTATTTAATTGTGAAAGATATGATAGATAAATAAATATAAATACATAACGTTTTATTATCCAATACTAACAGCTTTCAGGTTATCTTAAGTTTAAAATGTTATAACCTTAAATTAATATTATAAATTTTAGTAACTATATTTGGGAACATCATTATTTTCTTGAAGCCCGATTGTCTGTTTAAAACAATATTTATTTAATTTTTAAAAATATATATTTTATTTCGATGTAGGCAAATTTCAAGTCAAGATTCACCGCTAAATAAATTTTTAGTTTTTTAATTATTTAATTTATAAATATATAATTTTTATTTTTAATAAACGCATATTCTGGAATATATTTCTTTCTTCAAGCCCCATACATAGAAGAATTCAAAATCTAGGTGCAGGGTATCTGCCACTTAATCAACTTTGACTAGAGCATTCTTAAACAATTTTCAGTTACTTCTATGTGTGAGTGCTTGTGTGTGTTTTGTATATCAAAGTGTGTTGTTATCAAAACATAAAAGAACAGGAATTCTTAACCCTTTGGGAAATGTCAAGAGCTAAAAAACTTTGTTCAGCAGCTTTCAAATAATTTGCTATTATTAATGGATGGCCAGCAAAACAAACGTATATATCTATGTTAAATCTGCGAATGCATTACGGATTGGTTTTGGTTTAATTTTCATTTGTTATTTTGCCGAGTGGATTCAAATAATTAATTGTTTTTGAAGCTGTTGTGTAACCAAAGGCCGGTGCTTAACTTGTCAGCACGCATAAGACTTTTTCCTGTTGATGGTTTTAGCCGCAACAATGGCAAAACAACTGCAACAGCAGCAGTGGCAGCAAAAAGTGGCAACTGGCAAGCTCGAATGCAATAAAATGCAAAAAGGCACAAAAACCTCAGTTACGGCGGCCACAGAGAAAACGCTCATTACGCTTTGATGGAGCGCCAGAGCCGGAGGTGGAGCTAGAACTGTAGCTAGAGGCGAGGCCGGAGTCGCGGTCGGATTCGGTGCCGCAGCGCTCGAAACTATTACAGAGCAACGGAAATGGAATCGTGCCGCAAAAGTTGAAGTTGTGCAAACAGCAGGACAGCAGCTTTATATAGGTAGTGGGGGTAGGGGCTGGGTTGAGCTGGGCTGGGAGAGCAACAAAGTTTCAATATTAATGCCATTTACAGTTCTAATTTCGCTTTTTACGTACGCGCACAACACTTAACACAAACACACACACACACTGGCAACACACACTAGAGTTGTGCAAGAAGTTGCAGAATAATGCCATATTGAGGCAACTGCCTGGCACGCCCTCTGTCCACTTGTGTATGGGTATATATATATGTGTATGTGTGTGTGTGTGTGTGTTCTTGGGTCGGCTTAGCCGCAACATCGTTTATCTTCGGGGGTCATCATCTTATAATATTGGCCTTTCCGACATGCAATAAATTGCGCTCTGGCAAACAACGGTTGGTCTCTCTCTTTCTCTCTTTCTCTCACTGTGTTTTGCTCGGCCGGCTCCTTGTTGCAAGTGGCACATGCCTTGGCTTAACGGCAAATTGCGCATACGCACCGTGTGGCTAGTGCAAACAAACAGAGCTCGACAACAAAGGCGAATGTCGACCATATTTGAATAGCCTCTGTGTGCGCCTCTGTCTGTCTGTCTGTCTCAGTCTGAAGTGTAGAAAACTAAAATTTCGCTCTGGCCCTAAATAAGGCACAAGCACACACATACAAACAGCACACAGAACATGCGGCTGGCCATGGCCAACAATTTGTCCAGTTCCAGTAGGAGGCAAAACGCAAGGCCCTGTTTATGTGAGGCTAACATACAAAAGCCGAAATGCTTTTACTCTGTTTCCGCCTTAACAGATAGCCTCAGTCAGCAGAGCAGTCACTCCGCAAGTGTGTGTGTGTCTGTTTCTATTTAGTTTAGAACACTTAAACCGGAAATTGAGGCGTTTTGTGTTTTGCTTGTTTTAGTTGGATTGTTGTTATTTTAGTTAACAATTTATTTAGTTACAGCCAGAACAATCACACACTCGCACATACCCTCACACACACACTCGCACATACTTTTACAATTTATATGATCTCTTAAATTATTTGTGTTGCATGCATTGTTCAAGTGCCAGGCCACACTTTAAGCGCCACTGCAAGAGCACACAGCATATCTATACTAAATCGTGGCTCCTCCCAAACACCTCTTACCCCATACTCCTTCAACATGCTGCTCATCTCTAAGTCTTATTAATTTCCTGCTCTGACTATCAAATCTCATAGCCAAGAGCAACCGACCTGTGGTTTCATATGCTTAACTATTATAACAAAAATTCTTTCTATAAAAATGCCACACCCCAGTTGAGCATTTCGGGTTATCAAAGGTGAGAAATTTAAGTTTATATTCAGTTTTCATTGGAAGCCTGGTATTTGGTTACTATTATTGCTTGTGCTAAATTTATCACTGTTTAACTGTTGCCAAAGCTGCTCAGTATAGATAAGAGATATTGTGGAGTCTCTCTATATTGTTAGAGAAACAATTTATAATAAAAAGAATTAACTCAAAACTATTCTATAAAAAAATAGTTAAAAATAGAACAAATATGTTTTGTTTTCTGATTTTCAAATATCTTCAATTTAAAATGGAAATAATTTCAGGACAAACTTTTCATATATTCCCTTTTAGATAACATGGTAAAAAAATATTTATAAAGCTTGAAAAAAGTTAGGAGAAATTTTCGACTTATATAAAATAATCTTGAGAATAGTAAATATAAATGAATTTTAAAATTTTCACTCATTCCTGTCGGACTTAAATTAGAAACTCGTTTTATTATGTAAAAAAATTATATAAAAAAATTTCGTAGTATTTTTTAGGGTATTTTTTTAGACCGCTGCAGCTGAATCGACCGACTGCATTACAAAGGCCAAAGTGCTGGATGCCATTGTCTGGCTGCCTTTAAGTAACTGGAAGACCAAAAGAAACCAAACTCACACATCAACACACACACACACACCTCCTGCCCCTCAGCCAGACCACGAATTATGTTTTCCGCTCTAAAGGCAGCTGGTTGGGCTTCGTCTTCGTTTGGAGTGGCAGCTCCATGTTCGTAGTGCACGCCAACGACAGCAGGTGGCGCTAGTTTATTTATTTGCATGTGCGAATGTGAGTGTGAATCAGATTGTGTGTGTGTATGAGTGTTGAACAACACACTATATGCTTGCCTGCTGCGCCGTCTGACTGCCTGGCTGCCCGACACCCCTCCCTCTCTGCCACTGGCTTGTTGATGTTGTTGAACTCATTGCAAATAAATACGCTTTTTGAATGCGCATGTAAATGACTTCATAAGCATTTTATTACCACCAAGTTTCACCGAGTCTATGCACACACACAGATATACACACACGGATAGGGACACATGTATGTGTGTGCTTTGAAATCATTTTCTGCTTCATATTTCTCGCATTCTCTCTCTCTCTCTTTCTAACTCTCATAGTCTGTGCCCTGGAATAGGCTGTCAATAATGAGCGCTGAAGCTTTAATTTTCAACACGCTTTTTGTCCCAAAAGAATACTCGAAATACTTGGCTGAAACACTCGATACCCGAGCGTATCGAAATTGTTTTAATTTTTAATGAGCGCCATTCGCGGAAATCATACATCATTAGTAGCAAATCCGGACAACTTCAATTTCAATTTCAGTATGTGGGCGAACGGCAGGCGCCTCCTATGACTGCCTCACACACCGTTTTGCAGCGGGACGTGATGCTCGACTCGGCGCGAACAGACAACGCACAACATCCAACACATAAATTGAACAGGCAGAAATTTAAACGGTCAAACGTGGTCGACTTCTTGATACCCTGTAAGCAGCACCGACTTTCTTATATAGATACATATTCACACTACTCAGGTCGGTTCTTAAGGCAGATGCGCTTCTTTTTTAAGCTATCTTCTCACTGTGAAAAATATATTCTTTAATAAGTGCTCGGTTTTTTATTTTGCGATCGATATGCCAGTTTGGGGCTTAAAGAACCCATCCGAATGTGTTTATATATGTATATACCAATATATACCGATAATTATTTGTGTATAATATAATAAAATATAATAAGTAAGAATGATTTCTTTTGAAATGTATTAAAGTATCAAAAGTGTATAATATTCCTCATTTGTTTTATTAAGACAAATGAACTAAATGTCAAATTTATGGTTTTTATAAAATGTCAAAGGGGTTGGGACTTCGCAACGATATTTTGTTGTTATCGAATATAATATGAGAAAATCAAATAAAATATGATAAGCCGAATCTTACCGAAAATATACAAATTTTATATGTGAGAATATTAGTATATTCGTATGGTCTTTGCGATCGACGATATATAAAGATGGTCGAACTACATATTTTCTTTATTACAATTTTGTGAACAATAGCAGTGTATCCTTTTTGCCATATTCAATGGGTGTAGGGTATAAAAAGAATCACAATTAATGAGTTCGATGAATGCGCCATGGAGTATGTCTGTCTGTCTGTGCTTGCATCCTGTCCCTTCCTGCTTGCTTGCCAGCCTGTTGAAAGCCGCTTTTCATGCCCTTTTCCCTTTCCGTTCGGCATATCGAGTGCCTGGCATATGATTGCAAATGCCGCACATTAGCGGATATCAAGTGGGTGTTACTGAGTGTATGTGTCGCCATACAACAGCCCCTGACACCCCTCCCCCTCACACGCAACCCGTCTGTGTGTGTGTGGTCTGATGTTGTGCGCGAGTCCATGCCAAATTGAATTTCTAGCCTTTTAGATCTTTTGAACTGCCTTGTAATTGAGTCATTTGAATTCTGACTTTTCAATTTATATTGCGAGTGTGTCTGTGTGTGTGCGTGATTGAACTTAATTTAAGTGATTGCCCTGTCGCATTTACCAATTAACTTGCAGCAGACAAGACGCGATTATAACTCACATTCAAACGGGTTTTTTTATATTTTTATTCAACTTGTATTCATTGCAGAACCATACGTGGTTGCCTGGAAACGAGGCATTGCCATTTTAACCGCCGGCTCTGTAAAGGTGACGCCCGATCCACGCGTCCGTTTAGTTAGCGGATTCAATCTACAGATACGTGACGCTGTGCCCCAGGATGCTGGCGATTATATATGCCAAATTGCCACGATGGAACCACGCGAAATAACACACACCGTGGAAATACTGGGTGAGTGGCCCAAAAATCAATCAACTGCAATTTTGAAGTTGTGCTCTTATTTCTAAGCCAAATATATGTATATTCTTCTTAATTATGCTTGTAATTCCGGCAGTATTCAAACTTTTTCATAATGTGTGAATCGCATAACAGAGTTTAGTCTTGATCAGTATCAGTATCAATAGCTCAGTCGATATAGCCATGTCTGGCTGTCCGGCTCTCAGTTTGAAGACTTCTGTCATGACAGTCTATTTTGTCTACATTTCTTTTACAGGCATAAGTTAGAACCAGTCAAATCGGATTACTTTATGATATAGTTGGCGGGCGGTCCAAGCTTCATGTAATGTATGAAAATCGTTTGTGTTCTGCAAGGGATCGCGACCAAACTTGCCGTTTACGTGTTCTATCTTGCACTTGACATATTGTATAAAATAGCTCATAAGAGTGTTTCCGAACGGGATACTATATCATAAAGAGGATGATCGACATGGTCGATAATTAAGTTCATATAAGAAAACCCCTTTGTTGTTTATCAACATTTGTTGACCATACTTGGTATTGAGAGCTCTACCTTGCTCCTGACATATAATCAATATCTTATTATCAACGGCCTAGTGTATCATAAAGGTCTATAGAGTTGCTAAGAAGGGATACTATAAGAAATGATTATTCGACAACTAGGTTCTTTTAAGCAAAATATTTTATTGTTTTTCAAGATAACTTGAAAAAACTTGGCCTTTACGAGTTTTTCAAAGTGCCAGGAACATCTTATCAGTACCCCCAATAATAAATCATATAGCTCACTATGAAAAACCGGTGGAAAAATGAGTTTTTGTACGGAAAGCTTTTGTGAAAGGATAAGCTGTTCTTTCTTTTTATACCCTTGCAGAGGATATTATAATTTTGTCCCGAAATGTGTAACGAATACAAGATGGCATCTCCGAGCCCATAAAGTAAATATATTCTTGATCAGTATCAACAGCCGAGTCGATATTGCCATGTCCGTCTGTCCGTCTCTCTGTTTCTAGGCGAACTTGTCTCTCAGTTATAAAGTTATCGTCATGAAACTTTGCCGAAGTCCCTCTTTCTTTTGCACGCAGTGTCGGAACCGGGTGGATCTGACCAAAATTAAGTTGTTGTATGGAAGACTTTTTGGTTTTGCGAGATATCTTGACCAAACTCGGTATTTATAAGTTTTACTGTGCTCCCTACATTTATGCAAAATCTTCTTCCATAGGAACGATAGGAACGATCGGTGGAAAATGGGGTTATTGTATGAAAAACTGTTTGTTTTTCTAGACATCTTAACCATACTCGGCATTAACTATTTTCCCAGTGCTTCTTAGATACGGGCAAAGCAATTTGGGTCTGCAAGGGTATTAAATCTTCGCCGTGCCGAAGATAGTCCTTCTTTCTCGTTTTCATTGTTATGCAAATTATGTGCGAGGTTGAGTTTTGCGATAGTTCTTCTGCTTTCGTTTTTTATAGCCAAATTAATGCGGCTCGCTCTCACAAATCACTAGGGTCCATTGTGCACTAGGCTACATCATTTGGACACCTCGGCTCGGTGTGGGTGTGCATGTGTTAGTGTAGCTCAAATTAACATATCCTTAGATCCTTCCGACTGGCCCACTCAAATATGCTAAGCAGCTGAGCTGCAATTTGGCGGCTTTATGGCTACAGATTCAATAGGGATTCTTTTAGGGCCAGCGGAAAAATCAAAACTAATCTGCCATTTGCCCACCCGCACCGCTGCAGCAAGCATCAGATCTTACAGAGTTCAGATTCCCTTTACTGGCTGTCGATGCAAATTTCACGGAATTTCCCCCGCTACACACCACTTCCCCCTCTCTCTTTTTCTCTCTCTGGTCCAGGCTTTTAACTACTTCCTGTCCCGACAACGCATTTTGTGCCTAACAAGCTTGCGTTTCTCTCTGTTCTGCTCAGCTCTACTTTGTTCAGGTCTGCTCTTTGGTCTGCCCTTTGCTCAGCTCGCATCTTGCTGCCTTTGTCTACTTCCCGGTCCTGCCCTTATCCTTGTTCCTGGCCTGCCCTGCTGTTCTTGCTTTGTGGTGGTGCGTCTTCTAATCAGCAATGATGAATAATTTGCATATATTTCCCCCCACAATTACAATGTTGCCTTTTTATTTGCATACGCCACGCCCCCTCACTGGCCCTGCTTCAGGCACTGTTAACACTTTTCCTGACTTGGTGAGTCTCCGCGTGTGTGTGTGCGGCGCATGCAGATTGCGATAGAATTCCCAAAATCTCTAAAGTGTAGCCTCGCCTCGGCTCAACTGGAAGCTGAGCGCCTGGTGCCTATGCGTTCTGCTTGGCAAATAGTTGACTGCAGTTGCTGTCCTTAAAGATGTCCTGAAGCGTGTGTGCAAATATTTTAAAAACATTACATTCCACTTGGCTGGCCTATAAAAAATGCGTATTTATTTGAGCAGCAGCAAAAAAATCGACACACACAACTTTTTTCATTTGTCATTGAAACTTGGTCCTGGCTGAGAGCTGATCCTGCCGCTGCTGCTGCTGATGGTGCTGCCTGGCATTGCCACAAACAAACATTAAACAATGACTGGCTATGGCTGCTCAATGACTGGCCTGGCTGGCAATGGGAGGGGGGACCGTCGAGAACGCCAACAAAAAAAGTCGATTATTGAAAAGTTTTGTTTATTTTATGTGTTTATTATGCGCTCCGTTTGCCAAATAATGATCATGGCCAGAAATATTTCGTTTATTGAACTTTAGCAGCGCACGTAAATTGTTGCCCCGCCGGGTCACCACCACACCCGCACAGCCCAAAAAAAAAGGCAACCCCCTACTCTTGTTGGGCTCTTGTGTTTTTGGTACCAATTCCCGCATTGTTGTCAAAGGAGAAACAAGCAAAATAATGCGCTGTCGAAGTTTTTATAGGCTCAGCAGCAGACACCCCAGAATACCAAACTCCCCCTCCTCCTCCTCACACCACAAACTCAATATGTGCGCGAATATAAATTTCATAAAGTTTGGCCCGCTCTGGCATTTTGGCTCGCCAGCTTTTACGAGCGTAAATTACTTTCAGTTTGGCCTCCACACTAAAGATGAAAAAATAATGTGCGCCTGGCAAACTTTTGCACTTGTCCTGACTGCCGGGCAGCGGCCTGAACTGCGGCGCACTTACAAAGACATTAGCCGAACGATGGGCCCCAAAGCTGGCCAAGTGAAGCGGACCACAATAAACAGCGCTGCCCGAAGCCAACGGCTCCAAACTTTGCCAGTTGACAAATCTTTTAATGCAGCCAAAAAAACAAAAAAAAATAAAATAAACAAACAGAAAAAAGATGCCCATAATCGGAATAACTGGAGTATTCTTTGGCAGCTGCTAGACATTTATTTACACTGTGCCACATGCTTGGTTGCAAGCATGTGTGGCATGTCGCACTATTTTTATGCTAAGGTGATAAGGCTTGTTAAAGTTGATCCAAGCATTCCAAACTAAGCAATTGTTAGGAAATATAAGAAATTTGAAGATTAAAAAGTTGAAGAGCAACAAACCTGTTGCAATTGTTCTGCATTCTCACTAACTAGATCCAAATGAAATGTGAATGTTTACTAAAGAATAAAATTGTTTAAAAGTGTTCAGGCCATAAAGATGGCAGCAAACATATGCTTATGCCAAAAATTAGGACAGTACCCAAAACATGTTGTGCCTAGATTTCGTAATTTATTTCATATTTTTTTAGATTTTATAATTTAAAGACTTGGGATATCGATAATAACAAAATATAAAAAAATAACTTAGATTTTTATAGTAAAAAATTGTTTAAATAAATAATTTTAAACTCTGTTTAAAAACTGTGGGGTGGAAATAAAAAATACCTATTACTTTATTTAGAATAAGGATAATCTCGCATGTGTTCGATAGATTGAAACAAAGTTGAACATCTATATTTATCACTTTTTGCTTTGCATTTGTCAATCGAGGTTCTATATTCACTCTCTGAGAGTTCATACATAAGGATATACAGTCATATTGCTTGATCAGGCATATATACTTTATGGAATGGAAGATACCCCATGTTGCCTATTGTATTGGCAAAACTTTATCAAACTCCATTTTAACCAATTTGAATGGTTAGTTGACCCCCCTTAGCTAATAAAAAACTCTAGGTCGAATCCAAATCTCTTTCTGGTATTTTATAGGCTAATTGCATTTATAAATTGAATCCCACTGGGCCAGGATGTTTGCTGCAAAATCAACTGCAATTTGTGGCTTTAAGCTCTCTGACTTTTATGGATTTAATGCGCGTTTGCTGTTGACATTATTCAAATGACGGCCTGCGTTTAATAAAAACCAATTTTGACCATTGACATGTGTCAGCCCAATGCCCATTAGCCCCCCCGGACGCAGCGACTTGCTGCTGCCAACCGCCTGCCGTCCACTCGCGGCCAATGTCTGACCACAAAACATTAAGTTATGTGGCCGTCGTGCGGTCAGCTCTTATGGTCATTTGGTCATTTTGTCATTTTCGTTGTGAACATTGATGAACGCATGTAATGACGTAATGAGTTAATGGCGTCATTGTTACGACTGTTACCTTAATTTACGGCTGCAGCGGGCCAACGTGCGATTTAATGCCACATGTTAAGGGGCGGGGTCATATGTGGGCGTACTGCCAGCTATCTCAGTAAGCCGCTTAAAGTCTCCAACATTCGCCTAATTAGAACCACGATCGGCGGACTCATCAATTTCTGGGCCATTCGATTGGAAAGCATAATTATTATCAAGCTGGATGGCAAATAAAGCCACACGATTGTAAATTATATGGCCAATATGGCAAAAACAATTGTACGAAAATGCACACACACACACACTCACAGGCGGACGTGTGTAGAGAGGCGTGGCACTATAGACAACCAGGCAGCATTTAATTATGTGCAGCAGCCCAAACAACAGCAGCAACAGAATTAATAATAATAATTGTGCAATGCAATAACAATAGAGACAATGACGCAGAGAGAGAGAGAGAAAGAGAGAAAGGGGCGCACAATTTTATGCATGCGAAACAATATGCAATAAAGAAGAGAGTCGAGAAAGGGAGAGAAAGAGAGAGGAGGGAGAGACGGACGGCGCAAGTGTTTGCCCAACTTTCTTTGGATACTTGAGACAAATTACCAACACAATGGCAAGTAAATTGCAAGGATATGCCAAAGGGATATATGCAAGGATATGCAAGGATATTGCCCGGCATAGCCACACAAACCGACCAGGATGCTTGCCCAAAGCGAACCAACAATTAAACGGCCTGGCAAAATACCATTCGCAAGCACTTGGGATACCGTTTAAGTTTTAGCACTCAACTTTGCCAACCAACTATGGATTTAAATTACTTAGCAGAGAGAAGCTCAAGCCACGCCCCGTGCCCGCTTCGCTTCTCTATCGAGGGGCATAAAAAGTTGCTGCCTGCCTCAGTCTAATCGAACTGTGCAACTTTTAAAGCCACAAAACTAAACGCTAAAGTTGCAACTAGCGAAACAAGGCTTAAAATCAATATGAACACTCGGGAAAAAACGAGAGCTTTCTACTCAATTCAGAACCTTACAATTTACGAAAACCTGGACTATATAATCATTATATAAGCTGAGCACTGAATGGCCTTTGTCTCGGGAGTTGAACTGCCTAAGTCAGCCATTCAGGTACCAGGCTAGGGTGTGGATGTAGCTGTAGATGTTGATGAAGCTTATAAAAATTGTTTTTTGAAAATTTTGAAGAACTTTCCTGAAGTTCCTAAATGCTGGGCCCAAATATAGAACTTGATTTAATAAAATGCGCGTTTAATCTTATTTACATATTTGGTCCCTTAGCCGAGATTTTTTGTTTGTTTTTCTATTAAATTTGCCTCTATACAGAGCCAAATTCTTAATAGAAACACTTTTTGCACTCTAAAATTCCAAATTACACTCAATTCTATATAATATATATCTGTCTATATAACTATCTATCTATCTATCTAAGTAAATATTTATCGATATCTAAAGAAGCTTCTGCTTTATCTAGTATAATATTTGACTTTATACAATGGTTTGACTTTAAATTTGGAAATCAAGAGCAATGAAAACGTCTGCCGAATCCAAACAATTTGATTTAATTTAAGTAAAAATGTCTCAACTTAAGTATAACTTGTCTTAAGAGCTTGGTTTCTTAAGATATATATGTGTTTAAAAATTCTCTAATGAATTTCTGAGAACGGCCATTTTCTCTGTGTGTATATTGTGTGTATGTGTTAGTATGTGTGTGTACAGTTTGTAAGTATGTAAGCATGTAATTGTGAGCTTGTAAATGTCCGCAAGTTGCCTCAAAAGCTGCCGCTGCTGCAGCGGATATTGTGGCTACTGCGGCGTCGTTTGCCATGAAAGAGCTCACTTATTAAAATTGTTGACTACCAGCCCTAGTCCCAGTTCCAGTTCCATTCCCAATCCCAATCCCAGTCCCAGTCGCAGAGCCAGTGCCAGCCACTTGCCCTCCACCCACAGCCGCCCACTGTCAGGCAGCGATTGGCATCGCATTAGTCGTCATCTGCATGACATTACATTTCGCAATCCACGTATTACATGCCACACACACTCAAGCACACACGCACGCACACACATAGACAAGTCGAAATGAACTGTTCTGTAAGTCGTCAACTGCCTTACAGTTATGACCATGGTATCCGGGGTATTGAAACGAGTGCTCATATTATTTATTGAATTCAATATGCGACTTCAGCCCGCTGACGGCTGTTGGGCATAAAGTCTCACCAAAGCGTGAAATTATTGAAAATATATCTATCTATGTATATGAACAGAAAGAATGCCCCTGGCTGGCGCACATATAGATACAGATACAGATACAGCTAAAGATAGCAATAGAGCTAGAGATAGAGACACTGTTGGACACAGATAGTCCTTTGGTCCTGTGCAGAGCAAACAGACAACGACTTTATTGTGAGCTGCTGCTCCAGTCCCTGGGCGGCATGTCCTTTTCATTTTTATTTGCCTTCATCTGGTCTTGTTTTACTCTTTTATTTTATTTTTTGAGGTTTAGTTTTGGCTATGCGCCACAGTGCCATGATTTATTATAGTCGCATGCAGATTTGCCAGCATATCATATCGCTATACATATGTATATATATTTGTATATATCTGTGTATATATCTGCAACTCTTTCTGCGGCCTTAGTAATCCATTGTAATTTTCTTTCAAATGCAAATATTCATCATTCTCATTGAGTTGCCATCCTGTTGTCTCGGCTTATTTCTATTTATTTTGGCGAAAGCAATCGCATATATATATATCTATTATATTCTAAATTCGTTGCCAGCAATTGCATCAATCAAATGCATTTGCTCACATATTTGGTTTTTTCTCGATCTTAATTTATATGTAACGCATTTCAATATAAAGCCGAATTAGCAAAAAAAATTAAATTAAATCACGGATGTTGAATGAACGACTAGCTAATACCCCGTACTCGCTAACGGCATCTTTTTAGTTGACTTTGTTATCCTGAATGATTGGAGCACATCTTCATTATAAAGAAAATATCTGCTTGAATTAGTTTTATGCTTATTTTTAAAACTTATGTAGTTAAGGCTTATCTATTGCTCTACCAAGTTTTAAAAGTAAGGCAGACAAAAAGCAAAATGGTGAGCTAAAATATAAACAATAATATATAAAACACCCGAAGGCCATTTGCCTGTTATACACCTTTGCACAACTTGATGCCACCCTATTTTCTCATGCGCATAATTACAGGGCATCAAATGAAATTTATAGAACTGAGAATCAAATAAAATCCATAGCTAAGCTCTGGGCCCCAACACAAGTAGCTGCTTGCAGCCAAAATATAAGAATGCCTTAAAGACAGGCCCGCGGGCGAGGTCCTTGCGCATGTCCTTGAATGCGACGGCACAAAGCAGACATGGTCGCAATTTTTCTAAACAGCTGTAAAATAATTTTGGCCACAAATATAAATAAATTCGGGGCTCAAATTAAATAAAATGGGCCAGCCAACAATTGGCAGCTGCCCCAGTCGCAGTCTCAACCTCAGCCTCAGTCTCATTGACATTCACATTCTGGGAATGGGGCTCGTTCCACATGCGTAACCGCCATTTTGCACTCATTCAATTTGCATTTGTGCGCATATTTATTCAAATTGCTTGGCGTCCTTGGTCCTTGATCCTTGGCCAGGGCAGCTGGGCTTTGCATATATTTCAGCTCTATGTACGACTGGACGCTGGGCAGTCATTTTAGCCGAAAGCAGATACTACTTCGACTACTGGCCATTTCTAATGTGTTTTTCCATACACTTTCTGCCCGTCTCTGTTTTGTTTTGTCGTGTTTTTTTCGTGTATTTATTTTTTGACTGTGTCCTTTTTGCAGTGCCACCGAGGATTCATCACATTAGCACCGGCGGACATTTGCAAGTCAAAAAAGGTTCATCAGTGCGCATTGAGTGCTCGGCCTCTGGTAATCCAACGCCAAATGTGACTTGGAGCCGCAAAAATAATATTTTGCCCAACGGTAAGATTTTGCATAAGTAGGCCAAGCGAACGAACAAACCAACAAATGGAGAGGATCCCAAACAGCCAGCCAACTGGTCAGCTATTCAACGGGCGGCGAAAATTAAGAGCATCAAGGATACCAAAAAAAATAGTAAAAGAAACTGTGCAAAAGTAAATGAATATAAAAACTTAAACAATTTCCATAAAAAAGTCAAAGAAATTATTTGGAACGCATTGCCAGCGCCCCGAGGACCTGCCGTCGCGCCTCTTCTTTTATTATTAAATACAATGCCCAGTCTGGCTGGTTGGTTGGTTGGTCCTTCCTTGTAATTGCCTCTGTCATTTCTTCGATGGCCGCATTTTATTGACTCCTGCTCTGATGTTTCCTTTTTGATATTTATAGGCGAGGAGAAACTACACTCGCACGTCCTGTCAATCGAGAATGTGGATCGTCATAAGGGCGGCGTCTACATATGCACCGCCAACAATGGCGTCGGCCAGCCCGCATCCAGCCAGGTCGTGCTGCACGTCTTATGTAAGTAACAGTCACATCCTGCCAATGTCTTTCTGTGCCTCCTTCTCTTTTTCTCTCTCGTTCTTTGTGTGCGAGTGTGTGTAAATGGTCCGTGTGCGCCTGAAAGCAAAACAAATTAATTTGATGCCAGTTGCCGCAACACCAATTGCTAGACACTTCAATTTATTTTGAAAACTGATTTCAATGGTTATTGGCCTCGCTGAAAACTACTTAGACATGCGCCTTTGGCATTTGCCATTTACACACACCGTACGGTGAAGACCAGCCAGCAACTACTTCGGCTTGCAATTATGTGAAGTGCCGTGTCGGACCGACATTTATTTAAAAATTTATATGCAATTTCGATGAAAGTCTGTGGCAAAGGTTATTCCGTACAATTTTCCAGCGCTGCAAACAGCTAATTATATAGGGCAGCAGAACCTCGCAGACCTCCTCCGGAGATGTGCTATTGATTTTTGCCTTTGCTTAATTTTGACATTTTTTTCTTTTCTTTTACATTTGCTTACCACGTTGCTTACTAATTTCCTTAATATTCTCAGAGACAAAACAAAAAAAAATATGTATTTATATACCCCTTACAGATCCGCCCGAAATCTCCGTGGAGCGTCCCGTTGTGTTCTCCGGCGAGGGGCACGAGGCGATGCTGGTCTGCATCGTGCATGGCGAAACACAGCCTGAGGTATGTTTTAATTAAATTTGCCGCATAAATTTTCATTTACGCGCTGGCGCTCACTTGGACATAAAACAGCAGAATCTACCACAAAATCCATTAATATATATACACACACACAAGATCACACACACACATGCGCATACACATACCACATTTGCAGGCACTGTTGCCAGCTCAAGAACAATCGAAGCAATACCGAAAATTAGAACATAAATTCATATGCAGCATTCTTTTTGGGGCTTAACTGCTCTAATCATCTCTGGCAACAATTGCATCTCAATTTGGCAGCAAATCAAGCGCAGTTGGTATTCAAAGCATATCTAAACAATTCGAATCAGCTGACGGGACATTAATTAAAAGTCTGCAAAAGGCAAATTGAAGTGCCGGACAAAGCATAATTTTAATCAAACTTGGAACGAATACCTCACACAAAGCAGCTGCAAAAGCCAACAAAGAGCGTTAATCAAAAAATTACTAATAAAAAAGCTCTTTGGCACTTTGTCATGTCGATTTTTAAATACCCTTTAGCTGAATATATTTGTAAAAGAGATTTTAATTAGAATTTTTTAGAACTCTTGAAAGCGCTCGGCCTGGTTTAATTTAACTTGTTAAGCTCATACATTATCCAATTGAAGCTGTTTGTATTATTTAAGTATTTGATTTACAAAATGGATGCATATGCAGGATTTTCTAACAGCCTTTACCTATATCAGTCACATAATACAGTTATCCAATTGTGAGATATCAAAAACCAAAAATTTATGTGGTCTTGGTCTCTTAATTTCGTAAGCTGTTGTTATTTTGAAATAATAATTTAATGTATATAAATCGCATTATATATACTTAAAATAGTTTTTTTAAAATATAACTTATCCTCATTACATATTTAATACGTATTTTATTGACTGGCACATATTGCCAAAGTGAATTATAATACCCCTTTAAAGGGTATTATAAAGAGACAGAATATGGATATTTTTAAACACACATACACACTCATATTTGTATAAAACATTTTTTTGCTGCTGTGCAATTTTTCTTATATAGAAGTATTTATTTTTGTGCTTTGTGCCTTTGCCGACATTTAAATTAATACGCTTCGCTATAATTCAAAGTAAAATTGCGGAAGTTGCCAAAGCGGAAGTGTGAAGCGGCGAACAGCCAAAAAAGAGGCAGAAGCCAGACCAGAGCAGAGCAGGGCAAAAAAAAAATGCTTACAAAAAGCTGTAACAGACAGGGAGTGAGCGAGAGAGAAAGAGGGAGTGTGTGAGTGTGTTTCTGTGTGTGTGGATGTGTGCGTGTGTGTGAGAACGAGAGAGGGCCAAATAATGACTGGAGACCGCAAATGTCAATGCTTAAAATTATACAGCGTCGGTTCGCTTCAGTTTGCTCGGACACTGAGTGACTCGGCAACCTCTTCCCGGCTCCCCTTACTATTCACCTAAGACCCCCCGCTGTTTCTAGGAATTTTTGGGGCGTTACATTACGTTTTTATGCTATTTAATTTTTCACATTTTTTATGCGCTCGTTTTGTGGCCGCAGAAGAGTTGACTCTGTACTTTCCCAGGAAAAGCGCCAACTACTTATTTACTTTTTTGTCTGTATATTTTTGCTTCGTTCTCTATTCGCCACAACTCGTTGCAGTTGAGTTCTGCAGCTCTTTGTTTGTGCTGCTGGACACATTTCATTATACGACAAGTTGCACGCCTTACGCCTGCTTCACATTCTGTATGCCAAAGGGGGTGGGCGGAGCGATTGCTCGCAGATGGGCATGGCATTTGTAGTCTTTGAGAATGGCATTTCCGCATGCAATTTTTACCAGCAGCCCCTCGATAGCAGCACCCCCTTGCATTGCCCACTCGTCATTTGCTGTTTTATGACTCTAGTTAAATGCATACAATTTAACGCTTCGTTCCCGCTGCCTGTTCATGACACACGGCAGGCAGCACGCTAACGAGCCTTGCAACTTACAACAGCTCACAGCGTGTATCTGCCTTACAAATTTGTATATTTCCAGTAGCCAACCAACGAAAGTTTCGGCCCCACGCTGTTGATAAACTGTGTTGCAACACTGCCCTGCAGCAATACAAAGCCCTTGTATAAGGGGTATCGTATATACATCAGCCGGAGAAGTCATATGCGAATTATTCAAGCATACATATGTGTGTGCATATAAATATTCTTGAACATCATCAAAAGCTGTTCTTAAGGGTAAATGTGTGTGTCTTAAGCAGTTTAAGGAGCTGAAAAAATGGTATATATAAAAATGTGCGTTAAACCCAATTAGACGCCAGCTGAGGTTAACTTTTTTTTCGTAAAAGATGTGCAACGCGTTGAAGTTCCCGCACCCATATAATGTACATGGGCTTGATCGGTATTAAAATAAATGTTTCTAATCAAAGTAGTCCATTAGTTTTCATGGAAACTATCAGTAAAAAATTGAGCTCTAATTTAAAACAGTTTTTATACCCTTGCAGAGGGTATTATAATTTTGTCGTGATATGTGTAACGCATAGAAGGAGAAATCTCCGACCCCATAAAGTATATATATTCATGATCAGTATCAACACCCGAGTCGATATAGCCATGTCCGTCTGTCCGGCTGTCCGTCTGTCTGTTTCTATGCGAACTCGTCTCTCAGTTTTAAAGCTATCTTTATGAAACTTTGCTGAAGTCACTCTTTCTGCTGCACGCAGTTCATATGTCAAAACAAGCTGGATCGGACCACTATATCATATAGCTGCCATAGGAACGATCTGTCGAAAAGTAGGTTCTTGTATGAAAAACATTTTTGCTTATAAAGGTATCTTGATTTAACTCGGCATTTGTTAGTTTTACTATGCTCCTCATATATATGCAAAGTCCTATTAAGATCGGACCACTATATCATATAGCGGCAATAGGAACGATCGGTCGAAAATTAAGTTGTTGTATCGAAAATTTGTTTATTTTTCACGATATCTTGACCGAACTCGGCATTTATTTGTTTTACTATGCTCCTCATATTTATGCGAAATCCTACTAAGATCGGATCACTATATCATATAGCTGCCATAGAAACGATCGGTCGAAAACTAAGTTGTATGGAAAATTTGACTGCTTTTCATGATATTTTGACCAAACTCGGCATTTATTTGTTTTACTATTAAGATCGGACCACTATATCATATAGCTGCCATAGAAACGATCAGTCGAAAATTAAGTTGTTGTATGGAAAACTTTTTAGTTTTTCAATACATCTTAACCATACTCGGCATTAACTTTTTTCGCTGTGCTTCTTAGATATGAACATCATAAAAAGGTTGGGTCTGCAAGGATATTAAATCTTCGGTGTGCCGAAGTTAGCCCTTCCTTCTCGTTTTTAGTAATATCTGAACGTAGCTCAGCAACTACGAGCATCCCTATGCTTTAAAGGAATGAGCAACATCTTATTTATATCGAACTAACCTATCAGAAAAGCTGCTAAAAAAGCGTTTGAAAGAAAACCTAGAAGTTGTATGAAACTATGAAGGTATTGTAATCTCGCTGAGACGTAGGAGAGGTAACATCTCGTATATGTTTGCAGGCCTTAACATACGTATATTATCGTCAATATTTAATAGCAATTGGATATACAATGCAATTATACAATATACAAATAAAATATATTGGATAAGTATGTTGTATGCACGATATACGTATACCTCTATATATAAGACTGTTTGTCCTGACTGACTGACTGATTGGTGATCAACGCACAGCCCAAACCGTAAGAGCTAGGAATCTGAAATTTTCACTGTAGTTACCTTATGTGATGTAGGTGCACGTTATGACGGCGTTTCGGGAAATTCCATCCGCAAGTGTGGAAAAATCGCGAAAAACGTTTGTATGTAATTTTTTTGTTTACCATCCGATCGTCCTCAAGCTTATTTTCAAAGATCTTTGTTTAAATTCATTTAAGGGGTGTTTCACACTTTTAGGAAAATCCATTCCTCCTTGGTGGAAACGGAGGTCAAAGATTTGGTGGGTGACGTTTCGCGCTCAAATTCGTTTCCAAAGATCTATAAGGAAAATCATCTGAGACGTGTTTCGCACTTTTTGCAGAATCCAAACTTTTTCGGGTGTGTGAATGCGACTCAAAGATTTTTTGGGCGAAGTTTTAAGTTGTGTCCGATTTGCTTCAAACTTATTTTTAAAGCTCTACATAAGAACTTAATAAATACGTATTTTAGCGAGTTGGGAAATTCCACCCGCAACAGTGGTAAATTGGCGGAAAACGGTTGTATGAAAGTTTTTTGTTTACCATCCGATCGGCCCCAAACTTATTTTCAAAGATTTTTGTTCAAATTCATTTGAGGGGTGTTTCACACTTTTGAAAAATCCATCCCTCCGTGGTGCAAATTGGGGTCGAAGATTTGGTGGATGACGTTTTAAATTCAAATTTATTACCAAAGATCTATAAGAAAAATCATTTGAGACGTGTTCCAAACTCCTTCGCTGGAAAATGCATTTCAAAGATTTTTTTGGTGAAGTTGTTTGATTCCCGTCCGATCAGTTTCAAAATAATTTTCAAAGCTTTTTGAAAACAATGATTTTATAACACACGTGCCACGGGCAAGGCTGGGTTATACCCGCTAGTATACATATATACCTTCTGCACAGCAAGCAGAAACGTAAGGTTTTTAATGTATGTACACTTATGTAGATTACATATGCATGGAAATACATGCATATACAGTAAATTAAAGGCATGTCTAGGCACATCAAATTCTTTGTTTATGCTCAATACAAATGTAAGATAAATAGCATGCTGTTTGCCAACGAAGTACCTCTCATTTTTCTTATCGGTTTTCTTAATTTATTATTACTCATGCTGATTGCGAAGCAACAAATATGAAATTAATTTACATGTCAAAGGTGACATTTTCTCAATAATATGTAGGAATTTTGGCTTAATTATCAAAAGAAGTATTATGCATCTCAAGCACTGCGAAGTACTTTTGTTATTACAATTGTGGTTAATAAAG